AAAAAAAAAAAAAAAACCAACTCTATGGTGAGTGTCTCTTCTGATTAGTCAGTGTCCTCATGTACTAGTTGTTAAATGTTTTTAGTGTTGTTTCTGGGGAAAAACACGAAAGCACAGGAGAGGTTACATGACTTGCCCCAGACCTACAGACAGTTATTGACAAAACATGGTTCTATATTCAGACATTCTTAGAATACTAACCCTCACTTAAAATACAGCCAAAATTTTCACCAAGATAGTCTGCCTAAAAATATTTCTCTGTACTAAGTCAGAGTTTCCTCTCTTCTGTGCCTGAAATGGATTGAAAATGTGGCAAGATACTGATTCCTCTCTGTCCCTGCAATTGCTGGGACAGCCAGAGACCTGGGGCCGCTTGACTCCTGTGAAATGACATTTCTATATGTGCTATGAAGCCAGAGTTTAATCACTGCACTACATCAGAAAGGTCTTCCCCCATTTCACACATTATTATTCTGAAAATATTTATAAATCTCAAAAGTAAGAGTGTAGTATTTTTTCATCCATTTAGTAACAGAATATTTTTTGCAAGTTATATAATACACAAAATTCACTATCTGAAGATAGTTATAGTAATACCTTCACAACTATAAAATCTGATATAAAAATGATAGTAATTGATTATAAGCTATTGGCTAAAATAAAACTATACTCATGTGAATAAATTAATACATGATAAATTTGTTGAGAAACAAGATACTGTATTTACATAGCCTCAGATTACTACTGTATAAAATAAATACAAAGATTAAGGTAATTTTAACTTAAGAGAAGCCTGGCCTTTATTACCTTCACCACCAGTAATTAAAATTAACATCCCAGTTATGAGACTTGACTTCTATCATATTGCTTTCAAACTTTTTTTGTTGTTTTTTTTTTTTGGTCATTTTGAGACCGGGTCTCGCTATGCTGGCATTGAGCTCACTTTGTAGCCAGTAAGTAAACTTACTGACCAAATTATCTTTGATACACATGTTACCTTTACAGGAAAACTTAATTGCTGAAGAACACTAAACCTCTGAACATATCTTTGCATTATTCACACTTAGTGTAAGCATATATTCTAGAGCTTTGTTTTATTTTGGAAATTTGATCAATATCTAATTTAATTCTATGTCTCTCTAACAAACTTCATAATCTTTTTTTCTTTACCCAAACTTTACTGAAGTAAAAACTAGTTATAGTCTGTTTTAAATAGTTTTTGAGTTCTACAATAATAAAAATAAATACTTGCTTTCTAAAGTAGGTGAAAAATGCCTATTAAAAATATTTCTTTAGAAATAGAGAAATGTGGGGCTGGGGATTTAGCTCAGCGGCAAAGCGCCTGCCTGGCAAGCGCAAGGTCGTGAGTTCGGTTC